TGTGCCTTTGAATAATACACGCTGTACTGGTAGCGGTCACTTTGCCAGTAGGATCCTCAAGGTCACGTTTCAGGGAATGCATTTGATGGATCTGTCGCAATATGCGGTGGCATTTCGTAGATGTCCACCTTTCGCTAATGTTAAAGCGACTAAGTAGTGGTTTGGAGTCCGAACGAAAAGTGCATGCTTTACGTAATACTAAGGTGAAGAGGAAGAGAGGAAAGAGAGCAGAGGTGATTTTAAGAGTTGTTGCAAGTACGGGGTTGTAATGGCAATGTGTTTCAAACCACAAACAACTCCATTTTGTTAAAAAAGGGACTAACGTGGAGAAGAAGAGGCCCAGGATTGCGTGACAATTTTCCCGGATTTTCCTGCCCCTGCAGGACTTAAAGGCACAAGTCGGGATTGAATTGATGCTTTATTTTGTTCAAACATTAGGCAAGGGGTGCAATGAGGAACATTAGTGAGGAGAAAAAGCAAAAAGCACCATAGAAAACACTAAATTTCCCTTAGGAGGCCGGCCGTAGTACGACGGAGAGACACAGCGCTGCGAGGAGAGGGAGAACGCGAGATAGTACGTCGTACGCGAGAGGACGCAGAGACCACGTATGCCGTGGTGGATTACGCTGGCAGCGCGGCAGCACACAAGGCAAGGCCTTAGCGCCATTGCCGCGCACTTTTGAGTCGCGATAGTGTCGCGCCCTCAGTGCTTGGGGAGCCCACTATCGCACCCTGGGAAGAACTTCTGCTGGTTGCCTAATCCTGACTCGTAGCTTGAATCGTAGAGGATGCTCCCTTATGTTGAGCTCCTGAAAAGATTAGATTAACTCCGAAAAACCTAGCGAGGTGCTTAGGAATGAAATCGCTGGCATTAGGTTGGAATGTGCATATTCTAAGCTTGAACCACGTATCAGCTAGTATGTAACTACGACTTGGCCAGAGTGCACAAGTCCAGAGAAAATGCCCCCTCCCTACTTTGCGACAACGCCTCATAAATTCTCGTAGAACTTTGAATGGAGACCTATGTATAGTGACCAATCAAGAATCTTGGTTGCAAAAACCAGACCGAAAGTGAAGACCACAAGGTCTACGTGAACTGAGCAAGTTGTGAGCTGTCAAAAATATCAGGAAATGCAGCGTCAGTGTGTGTGTGTGAGGTAAGCAACTTGGTCCGCATGCATTTTTAAATTTTCACTGATATTTGATTTTTAATAGGCATTGCTTGGCCTCAGTACTACATCCTACCTCTTTTGGAAGTTTTATCGCTTGCTTGTGAAGTTCATGGAACCGTTTCGGTGTTCGGATTCGTTGCTAGTTTTCTTTGTCTATCGATTTACCACCTACATAGATCTCTATCCAAAGTTCCATGAGAATTTCAGTGTCGTCTTAGCCGATTAGTGTCTGTGAGATTCAAGATTATAAAATAGAGACTTCGAATTTCTTCGAAAAATTTTGTATTTCTATTTCATCAGAGCATTGTTGCAGGAATGGGAAAATCGTCAGGCTATGACTGAAGTCAAGGCGACCTTTGATATTCGACTGCTGGCTTCACTATTAATTCTGGCACCGGCCCTGTGTGGACTTCTACTGCAAGCGCTGGTCTTTCTTGCGCTTTATTCAGTACGTCTACATTGCGTTGCGATCACAACTTGTGAGAAAAGTGCATATTTACAGGGATGGAGAACTTTCAAAAGGAATAGTATCTATTTAATCACACTACAGCTGATGTGTTGTGATGTTTGCGCCCTCATATTAGACCTCTACGCCGCGTTTCCGTTGACTCTCACTGGGATTCAGGTTGATTTAAACGCTTTTAAACGAGCTCATCATGCACAAATCACTTTTCACTGAATCAGTATCTCTTTGTTGAAGGACTAAGAAGGTTGAAAAGGAAATAAGTCAGCTTCATCGAACACTCACATAATGGAAGAGGGAAATCTACTATACTGGTGGGATTCACTGAGCTTCTGGACGCTATGCTCCCCCACAAGAGAAACCCAGAAACAGGTGCGACTGCAGGTGCTGTTGCAGTGTGAACAGAGGATGGGATCGACGGTACGGGGAAATGGAGAAAGGAAAGGAGGTTTGTTCGAATAGAGAACCAAAAAAGGCATGGAAGACGAGATAAGGTGGCCCACTCCATTATGGACACAGCCAGTGCAAAAGGAGGGATGCCACGTGCCTGAAAAACTAGTATCGTTGCCCCTGTCTTCTAACGAAGGGCGACGAGATTGATGACCCTAGCTGCCGACTGATCAATTTGATAACGCATACCATGAAGAATCCAAAGTGACTTTTAGTAAACTCAAATATACTTGATAAAATAGGGGAGCCGCATAACCCAGGCCTGCGCTGTGATCTTACTACACCTCTATATTACGCTTTGCGATGAACTACTGGCCCGGTCTACGGGCATCGCATCAACTATGAATGCATCAATTATGTTGATAAAAGGATAGTATGATGCGGACGAACCGCGTACGATACATAACACAACAAAAATAATAAAGCCATAGATTCATGTAACTATTAAACTACTACAGAGAGAATGAATATAATATTGTACGGCTACTATTAGGTTGTCCCATAATTAGTGAATCACTTTACATTTATTGTTATTAAAAATCCAAGAAAAATGGTGAAGGCGTGAAACATGTTTTGCGAAGTAGCATCCACATTATCCTACCTGAGCAATTACTCAGCCCATTTACATGCTGCCTTCCGTGGCTGATACTTCAATTTTTCTGGAACCTATTTTTGAGCTCCCTTCTTAATCACTTCTGATTAGGATCTTTCAAACGCCCAACAACATAGAGAATCAACCAGCGGATAGGCGAGGGCACGCTCCCTCAATCCACGGTCTGCTTGTAATTCACTCTATCGAGAGGTTGGCTTTTGAGTTGAAGATGACCCACACTCCAACTACCCCTCAAGTGGCAATCTCACTGCTGTACCCAGCGCCACTGAGGGTGGATCTGGACAAACTTGTCGCCATTTGATGGAGCATGTCCGGCCTATTAATTAAACTGAATGGAATGTAGACATCTACGTAGAGTTGTAAAGATTTTAAAATATTTAGTTTGTATCTTGTATGCTGTGAGCCCGAAACAGCTCCACACACGATCTGACATCATCATGTTCCTTCTGATCTCTTAGTTCCTTACAGTGATCATCCGGCATATGCATCAGGGTTCTGGACTGGGTGGAGTGTTCTAGCAAATCTCAAACAAGCAGCAGCTTAGCATGAAGGGTTCGGGAGTTCTGACAGCAAAAGCCGAACCCCCTTTGAGTCCGACCCTTCCGAGATATTGTATGAGCCACGAGAGTGACCTTACGCTGGGAACCGCCGCCCAGTTATACCAGGGTCACTGAGGAAGATCAGCTTCCACAGCGCAATGGCGACGCTTTCAATTTGGAAGTAAAGCAAGACAAAGTCTGCTTTTTTTACATGGAGTCGCTTCGCCACCTTGCAGAGAATATTCATAAAAAATTGGAGACTTCCAGGCTAGCACTTCTTTCACCTCCTATATGTGGCCCTATCCTCGTGTCAACAAAAGACAACTCAGTCTGACCTCTAGCGCTCTTCTCCAGGAAGAAACTTTACGCTAAGTGACATGACCTCAAACTCGACTTCCGATCTTTCTTCGATCAATAGCTCCTGGAATTCTAGAGATAAGACAGCGACTAAATTTCCTTGTATAGGCAATACATTGTAGATGACAGAGATGTATGTTTGGATGAGCAAAGACTCCACATAAAAAAGAAAAAAATTTGAATTCAAAAATACCCAAAGTGATTCACTAATTATGGGACAACCTAATACAACTCAACTCACGGGTCGAACCCGGTAGTGTCCGTTACGAGGGATCGATTAGCTTGGTTCCGCCATCCATCCTCGGGCCTCCACCGGTTCCTCTTGCAGATGTACGAGGCACTGAGACGCGAAGTGGCGGGACGGAATACGAACAGTAGCGAACAGCCAGACTCGACGACGGCAACACGTAGACTGACTGCAGGCAAGGGCGCCTGCTCTGCTCTCTGACGCTCTTCTCGAAGCTTCGACAGCACGGGCGCGCCAGGACCCGCGCACACCCGACCAGGCGCGACCCTTTAATTTAAGTCGTGCGCAAGTCACGACACCAATGTCACTGCTATCGTGAAGTGTGTTTTCAGCCCGAACACAAGAGACATTGCTCAAGTTCCGCTCTTCAATGCACTTTCGGGATTACCCACAATACCCGGCTTATTTCATGCGAGCAGATTTTTCCTAAACTCAAAGGTTGCCAATTTCAGTACATGGGCGACAGTGTGGCTCTTTATTATGTACCGCTGGCATTCGAAGGCATCGCGTTCAATGGTATTTTCCATCTTTCATTCCTCCTTACAGTCAACCGATTTCTACTGTTTATATTTCCAAAACTACATGTCATAATTTTTACGGAGAGAGGAACAAAAATGTGAGTTCTGTCCCAAGACCGAAACCATTCATAGTCGTAACATTGGAAGGTAATCTGATGCGCGCAAATGGCTTATATTATAACTTCTTCTATGGAAAACAGTCACCACAATGGCTGGAGGGCGGTGCGGAGTATTAAACGCAATTGGTGGAGTAGACCCTTGAGCGCGCTGAGGGCGTGGCTGGAACCGCTCCTGAAACGCTTTGACTAATGACGTTCAACGATGGCATCGAAACCGCAAAGCCATCCAGCTACCGTGGTCACTGCCTTCAAGTCTCCGTTCAACTTGGGCACGTCGGTAACTGCTATGTTTAGAATGTCATTGTGTGTATGGATTTACGTGTTTTTGCTGATTATTGGGTCGAATATCGCCGGGTGTCGTAAAAGGTTCTCCAAGGAAGGTAATCTCGAGCAGCAAGTAGCAAATTTCATTCCGTCTCGGTCTCTAATTACTTCATATGCTTTGCAGACTTTTATTTTTGGTTCGACTGCGGCAATAATGAATTTGCCAATAGTTACAAAGATGTGAGCCTTCAGAATTACCTGACAACAGTTCTGAAAAACAGATCTAACATTGATTTTTCAGTTCATTCTCGCCAACTCTTGTGCACTTCCGGGTGTGATGACCTTGATGTATATTGTCATCTATGCCAAACTTAAATATGAAGAGAAAATGTCGCGAATAAGCTGTCGAATGTCTCATAAGAGAGAGGTGAACTACCTAGTGCAGGTAAACATGGCATTCTTGGTAGAAATCGTTCACTCCGTGAAATGAATCATGCCACGATTGAATGCTCACTTTTTCCACTCCTGGTTGTTGTGGGGTTTAGCGTGTTGTGGGGTTTAGCGGCAAGGGCTGCGGTTACACGGAACGTTTATTATGAAGTAGTGGCTAATACTAAGCACTTTAAAGGAATTAAGTTAGGAAGATCGAAGCTGAACCGACTATGTCTGAAGATATCACAAGAATGCTGAGTTGTAGGCAAAACATTCGCTCCAGCCGTATGTCTAAAGAACTCGTCTAGTTACGCCCTTTCCGATCCCAAAATGGAGTGCTGCTGAGGGACTCTGTGTTCGAGGTGTTCCCCAAGACGTAAGCAAACCAGCCCTTTTGGCGCTTCGGCTGGGACCGTATGCTGAATGTTGGGGAGGGGATGGAGTCCCCGACGGTGGACGGACCACTTCAACTCGGTCCTTAGAACCGCCACAATTTGGTGCTTACCTCAGAACTAAGCCTTAAAGAGAGGACGGGTCCGTCCCCTCTCCAAGGCTTAGTCCTGGGGTGAGCAAACCAGCCCTTCTGGCGGAGCTGCTGGACCAGCTGCACCACTTGCGTCAGTACTCTCCTATCGTACCAACCGAGTTGAAGTAAACCGTCGACCGTTGGGGACCCCATCCCCTCCCCAACATTCAGCATACGGTCCCAGCCGAAACGCCAAAAGGGCTGGTTTGCTTACCTCTCCCCAAGAGGCCCATCGCGCGGCGAAGGAAGAGACGCAGACGCGGCAAAGGACGAGTCGCAGCGCATACTGTAGCGGTTAGGCGTCAGGTTAAATAGAGTGTACCATACTACGTCTCATATCGCACAGCACGCGCTGCGACTCGTCCTTTGCCGCATCTGCGTCTCTTCCTTCGCCGCGCGATGGGCCTCTTGGGGGACACCCCCATGTTCGGTGCAGAACTGGCGTTCTCTTTTTATTTTTTAGATCACTCATCATTTCACACACTGACACGATATTGTCAGTGGACGGCATTGCTCAGTTTGAATATTAAGGACCAATTACGTTGTCCAGTAGGTAGTGTCGCTTTTTTCAAACGAAAAATTCCCACCTGAAATCTCATTTTTCACATGTTCTCATACAATATTTGAAGCGATCTGCATGCTCAAAATGGTATGTTTCCCTTCAAATTCTTTGCAACTGCAACTGCAATAGCTTGCTTGTAACTTTTACTTGACATTGCACTACTTTCTGTCGCCCCCTCTAGAATCTTAAAGGAATCTTCCACGGAAAAAGCTCCGCCCTCATTACCACAGAAAACGATACCTTAAAGGAATCTTCCACGGAAAGAGTGATCATTTTGTCTTGTGTGTAGGATTAGTATTATCGAAACTAACGCTTATGTTCCGTTCTTTTTGCTATGCTCATGAGGCTAGGGGCCTAAGGTATCGTTTTTCTGTGGTAATGGAGGCGGAGCTTTTTCCGCGGAAGATTCCTTTAAAGGACGAATTCACGATGAAAAAGCAACCCATTTCAAATTAACCTAGGGATGGTGAGTGGTACACGAAAGAAGGAAGAACCATGAGAAACGGCCCAGAACCCGAGAAATGGGACCCCTTCCTTGCCCGTTGATTTGAGCATTGATGCGACTCTCATCGCTGTGCCCTCTTCAACACTACGCTCTCTCAGCTATCTAATCACTCGCCACGTATTGAACTACGGCGAGTGATCAGATGATCGGTGGGCGGAGATCGCCGGACCCGCCAGCTTTGAGGCATGATAGGTCGCCGAGGTCAAATTTTTCCATGCGAATTGCGCGTCAGTTCGCACCCTCAGGAGGTCCGTGGGTCCCTCAACTAGGTCAGTTTCCCTTTCTTCGACCTTCATTCTAATCGTGAATTCCTCCTTTAAGGTATAGATTTAACACAACAGTGCTTAACCTTCAAATTCTGGCAGAAAAATCAAATTCGAAGAAGGAATAACGGACAGGTATTTCAGTAGCTAAGCGTCTAAAAGACGAGCGGACTGAGTAGGACGTACATTAT